CCTCAGTCGGCCTCTCCACTCCTCAGTCTGCCTCTCCACTCCTCAGTCTTTATCATTCACACATGTCCCTCATCAGCCACCTGCCCAGGTGCTCTCATTACTCACTCTCCCTCTGTCTTATAAAAAGCCTTTCTCTCCTCCACTCCTTGTCCGGTCATTGTTCTGTTTTCACAGACAACATGGTCCTCCTCTATTCCTTGTGCCAGGTATCAGTCTGATTTTTGAATCTGTCCTGTTCTTGTCTGCCTGGATCCTGCCTGTAGTTTTGCTGCCCCGTCAGCCGTTTTGTTTTTTGTGGTTTAAAATAAATTATTTTTATTATAAACTCCTGCCTCGCTCGCCTGCCTGCAAATGGGTCTAAACAACACTGAGGATTGTGATATATACAAGTAACACTTGATTCAATAACTATTATAGTTAATAGCACAACAAGAAGTAGCCTGACCAACAGCTCTCCTTGTGTGAATAGAGCAAACTCCACTTCTCTCATGCATCCTAGTCACAGTCTAAGAAACATAGTGCAGCCTAAGTTAAGTTTTAGGAGAAAAAAAATCACCAGCCAATATGAAATGATAATAATAATCACACCTTCTTACCAGTGGCTTAGCATAAAGTAATATGGTCATCATCCATAATATTTCGTAGTACAAATGCAGCTTAAAATACATAATTAAAACTCCAGCAATGGGCTATGTCTACTGTAACGTTACCCAGTTGTAGGGTCAAGAGACAAACATGTAGCATTAACACAGTATGAACACATTATGAACAACATTATCAAATATTTTATGTGAACGGTAAGATCGCTCCCAGGCTGAGCTTACCTCAGACAAACACACAAAGATATCTGTAATGGTGGAGGTAGTGCAGCTCACGGTGTTACCTGAGGCATTTAGTAGTAATTGATTTCTTATCAACCAACATTAAGGCAAAGAAGACAGATTAAAAATCTACTGATAACTTAAAATAGTTACTGCAGTGGATGTCTTCATGCCACAGAGCGACACATAGTCAGAGTCAGAGAGATTTATTTGTCATACACACCACGCGTGGTACATGAGGTGGGACGAAACTATGTACACAGGGTCCCAGTTACATCCAACAAAAACACAAATTGTAAAGGAAAACCTTAGTAAGATCTGAGTCATGAACTAAGAACATACTACATTCACTAAATTAAGAATACACAAGACTAAGAATACACTAAGCACTAATGGTACAAAAACAATGCACTAAAACAACAGCAGCACAAACATGAGTCTGTGTGAGCAGATGAGGACCAATGAACACAGCAACACAAAATAATCAGCAGCATGAGATCAGCATCACGGATGGTCAGCAGCACACATCAAAAATCCAAGTGGCATCCATCCATCCATTATCTTTTACCCGCTTATTCCATTTTGGGTCACGGGGGTCGCTGGTGCCCATGTCCACCAATCACTGTGCGAGGGGCGGGGTACACCCTGGACGGGTCGCAAGTCCATCACAGGGACACATAGAGACAAACGAGACAAACAACCATTCACTCTCTCACTCACACCTAGGGACAGTTTAGAGTTACCAATCAGCCTAACATGCATGTTTTTGGTCTGTGGGAGGAAACCGGAGCACCCGGAGAAAACCCACGCATGCACGGAGAGAACATGCAAACTCCACCCAGAAAGGCCCCTGGACCGGGGTTTGAACCAAGGACCTGCTCGCTGAAAGGCAGCAGCTCTACCAGTTGCGCCACCGTGCTGCCCAGCCAAGTGGCATTACAGCGATTTTTCAGTTTTTGTTCACAGTATTTTTCACAGTGATTATTCTGGTTAGAGATTCATGAGTCTAACAGCCTCAGGGTAGAAGCTGTTCCTCAGTCTAGTGGTTCTACACTTAATGCTCCTCAACCTCCTGCCTGAGAGGGGTGGGGCAAAAAGTGTGTGTACTGGGTGAGTGGGTTCCTTCATGATGCAGGTGGCTCTCTTCCTGCATCTAGAGGTGTAGATGTCTGTGATGGTGGGGAGACTGACTCTAACATCTTCTGTGCAGCCTTCACCACTCTCTGCAAAGCTTTTCTTTCTGCAGCTGTGCAGCCTCCATGCCACACGTTGATGCTCGAGCACAGGATGTTCTCCACTGCACACCTGTAGGGCAATAACTCAGTGAAATTCAGTATGTAAGAATACATTTTACATTACACAACCTATTAAACTTCTTCTTCTTCTTTCGGCTTTTCCCTTTTCTGGGTCTCCACAGCGAGTCGTCCTCCTCCCACTCTGTCCTCACTCCAACTTCCTCCATGTCCTCTCTAACTGCATCCATATCTCTCCTCTTTGTCTTTTTCCTGACAGCTGCATTTCTAACATCCTTCTACCAATATACCCACTGTCCCTCCTCTGGACATGTCCAAACCACTGTCCCTCCTCTGGACATGTCCAAACCATCTCAGTCTGGTCTCCCTAACTTTATCTTCCAGTTGTTCAACCTGTGCTGTACCTCTGATGATCTCATTCCTGATCTTATCCATCCTTATCACTCCTAAGAAGAACCTCATCATCTTCATTTCGGCCACTTCCAGTTCTGTCTTCTGTCTTTTTGTCAATGCTGCTGGCTTCAGCCCACACAACAAAGCTAGTCTCACCACTTTTTGAAACGTTTTCTTTGACCATCCTTGTTATCTGCACCCTGACACTCTTGTTCACTCCGATCAGCAAAGCACAGCTCTGGCATTAAAAAAAATACAAATAAATAAAATGAAAAACAGTGATAGTCTTCTGCTGCACAAAACTGAACAAAGTGGTAGTGTCTCTTCAAATTGCAGCGTGTAAACAAAATGGGTTGCTGTGGTAAACATGCTTGGCAGTTTCAAACTGGAGCGCACTCTGACTTAACATGGCCCCTTTAAAATGGTCACTTTTCTTGAATGGACCTTTGCAGGTCAACTCCCAGTGAAGCTCTAAGCTTCCTTCCTTGATGTATTAAAAATGAAACAGGTGTTAGCTGCCAGCTTGTAATTAGTGAAGTAAACTGATTCACAAAAATACTCAGAATTCTGATGTATGACACTAAATTTATACTTGTGGAATTTGGACAAATGCCACTTTGAATAGTGTCTCAAACAAGTGACACGATAGGTTAATTGACACAACTGTAAGGATGTGTGAGAATTCTGGTGTTCCTGGTTCCTGTTGGTTACTTTCTGAGTGCCAGGCAGAGCTAACTGGACGCCTGGTGTCATTCACACAATAAATGAAAGTCAGTCGTAGTAAGACAGAGAGGGAGGAGGTGGAACAGCGAGGCGACAAGGAGCAGAGGTCACAAAGGTGCAGGACTTCAAGGACTTGGGGTCCACTGTCCAGGAAAATGGGGAGTGTGGTAAAGAGGTGAAGAAGAGAGTCCAGGCAGGATGGAGTGGATGGAGAAAAGTTTCAGGAGTGATTTGTGACAAAAGGGTGTCAGCAAAGGTCAAAGGAAAAGTTTACAAGACAGAGGTGAGACCAACTGTGTTGTATGGTCTGGAGACAGAGATGTGGACAAAAAGACATGAGACAGAACTGGAAGTGGCAGAAATGAAGATGTTGAGGTTCTCCAGTGACAAGGATGGATAAGAATGAGATCATCAGAGGTACAACACAGGTAGAATAACAGGGAGAGAAAGTTAGAGAGGATTTACTGGGATGACAACAAAAAAGGTTGAATCATGTCATCTGGACTTCGTTTTTTTTGTTAAAAAGAAACGTTTCGCCCCTCATCCAAGAGGCTTCGTCAGTCTGAGGCCTAGCCATCTGGTATTACCCAGAAGCCACCCTGACTCTTGTGTTTCAAGCCTGCCTCAGATACCCCTGAAGTCTGGCCTTTTCACTAATGGTTTCAAAAACACAAAGTTTGTTTTCTCAGTCATCCAGGTATATAACAACAAAAAAGGTT